ATCCTTTTGCCACTACCCTTGCTTTCTTCTTAGTTAGCTCACCCTCAGATCCGACCTTTTCCGCGAATACTAGTCGACTTTCATGGATTCGTGCATCAGGTGGTTTGTCGATTTCAATGAACACTCCGCATCGCTTCAGGTTTTGGTATTCTTCGACAATCGCTTCGAGCCAATCCGAGGCATCTTTTCGTTTCATTGCCTCATGGTAGGATTGGGGTGCTTCTGTTGCAAGTAGCGCCGTCTCGGTATTATTCGTCAGTGTGTGATTGTCATCCACGGTCTCATTTTCGCTTACTGATTCGTTTTTCTCTTCCAGATCTTTGTCCTTGTCGTTCTTTCGTCTCGAATACGAGGTTAAGATCGATTTGGGGTCTTGATCTGGGCGCTTTGGTGGGACTCCTTTGTTCGGGCGAGCAGATCGGCGCGGAACTGTCGGTTCTGGTGGTGTTGGTGTTTCAGTGGGTGTGACTGATTGTTTGAGAGGATTATGGATAGGAGATGGTTCTTGACGATTCCTAGGGGTCGTCTCAGGTGCGTCGTCATCTTTTTCACTGTTTCCGACCTTTAACTCCCCCCCTGAATCGTCGTTCTGACCTTCTCTCCCATTTCCATTAGGGCCATCTTCCTCTTCATCTCCACTATCATCCTCTACCCTTATTCTTTCCTCATCGCCTCCTTCTACTTCGTCAAACGTCACATCGCGCGACTCAATCAATCGGCGCTTCCTTCGATCAAAAATCAAATATGCCTTCTTGTCTTCCGCAAATCCAACATGTATTCCCTCAACTACTCGTTCTCCAAATTTCGATTGGTACTTCTCCAGGATATGCGCAAAGGCTCGACATCCAAATAGTCGGAGAGACACAAGAGTTGGTTTCGCACCGAAGTACGCTTCGAACGGTGTGATATTGTTGGGAATTGCTCGCGTCAAAGTCCGATTCTTGATCCAGGCAGCATGGCGGACTGCCAACGACCAGAAACTCTTTGGGAGTTCTTTCTGTTCAAGGACTTCATTCGCATCGGCAATCATAGAGCGGGCTAGGTTGTTTAGGGTTCGATTAACCCTTTCCGCGACTCCATTTTCTTGCGGTGTGTAGGCATTTGTCACCTCTCGTTTTTGTCATATCCATGCAATCCCGACCTCCGCTCCGGGCTCCCGGAACTCCGAACTCCGACTTCCGGAGCCCTACTTCCCTTCCGTCACCTTCTCCTTGCCGACTCCCAAGAGGTTATCCCACCTCCGGCTCGGACACCACCTTCGGTCCGACTCCGGAACATTCCGGGTCCGACCCCAACCTCGACACCTTCCAGACGAGTACGCAAAACCTATGCTCCCAACTCCGGGCCTCTGCTCCGGTATTCCGTTCACGTCTCGTCTCCGGAACCTCCGGTCTTAGCTCCGACCTCGGACTTTGACCCCACCTCCGCTTATACCCATTGTATTGGTTAGCTCATTCCATTTAATTACCTTTGCCAATATTCCGGAGTTTAACCTCCGAGTTCGGACTTTCCGGACTTACTCCGGACCTTGCAACTATTGCATTGTCCATTTCAATTCCGCTATTCTCCCTCATTCCTATTTGGGCTGCTGCTTCCTTTCTATTCAGTCAGCTAGCCATTCCCGACTCCCATCCTCCTTCCTTCCTTCTTGGGTCTTGGCCCTTCATTCCTCCTTTGGGAAACACCATTGAGTCAAACACTTGACCCTCGGTGTTGTTCCTCTTTCCATCTCCCTTTGTCTCCTTTTGTCCTACCCTTGTTCCTTTTGATTCCGGACCCCTGTTAGAGATGGGCGGAAACAGACGACTCCGGAGTGGAATCGGAGACTTAGCGTGGAGGGACCTTGGCCTCAGCGACTCAAGCGGAGCGCTGTGCCATTGCTGTTTGTCCATTTGGTCCTTAATTTCACAGTAGGTGAGCAGGAAGTCTCTTGGGGGCATTTCAGGTCGATTTTGGACTGAAAACAGACGAGTATGTACAAGCGCCGATATATATAAGGAAGGGGCAAAAGCACAAGGAGAACAAAGGGTGACCGAATCGGAATGAAGACGTCCGAACGGGAACAAAGGGTTAGAGGGAGCGGAGCGGTACCGAAGGTCATAGGGCAAGACCTGTGATACAACCGAAAGGAGGTAGAGTGGGCGAGGCCCAGAGGGGCAGGAGGATGAGGGAAAGTGGGGGTGATGACTAACTGGCTAGAATAGAAAGAAGCAGTAGTCCAAATAGGGATGAGGGGGAATTGCGAGAAATACATTACAAACGGCGAGAGTGCCGGAGGCGGTCTGCGAAGCTCGGGGGTTGCGGAGCTTACGGAGGTTACGGAGGCGGGGTTGGAAGTCCGAGGAATATTGGCAATGGTGTTCACGTAGTATGAGGTCACCAATGCAATGGACTAAGACCGAGGTGGAGTCAAAGTCCGAGGTATGGACTATGATGGAGGCTCGGAGTAAGGTACGAACGGCGTCCGAGTGTGAAGTACGGAGCAGCGGTGGACGGTCGTAACTTGGCGGAAGGGTGGCGGAGGAGTGACGGAAGAAGGAGAGAGGGGACAGGTAAGGAAGAGTAGTCAGGTCCGAAGGTGGATATCGGAACGGACGGAGAAGCGTAGGGGATGACGGGAGGGTGGAGGTGTTGTGAGGGGGGAGCGGAGTTGTAGGAAGGGTGGCGAGTAGGGCGATGTTCGGTCCGAGATGAGTATCGGAACGGATGGAGAAGGGGTCGGAGAGGTAAGAGGAGGGGTGTGTTGCCAAGACCGAAGGTGAGTATCGGAAAGGCAGCGGTAGGTTATGACTCCGGAGGTGAAGAGGGTGGAGGTCCGGAAGTCGGGTCGGGGTCGGGTATGCACGGATATGACAACCCCTCCTTATATACAATGTACCTAGTAACTTGTAAACTCAGTCCGAAATCGACTGGAATTCCCCCCAAGAGACTTTCCCTCTGCTAGATCCGAAATTAGGGACCCCTAGGACAACCAGCAATGGCACAGCGCTCCACCTGAGTCGCTGAGGCCGAGGTCCTTCCATGCTAAGTCTCTGATTCCATTCCGGAGTCGTCCAAATCTCCGCATTCTAACAGTTTTATACCTTCTGATTTCAAATAAGCTTTGAAGGCCTGTGACGTGAATTCTCCACCCCCATCCGAGCGGAAAATTTTCAACTGTTTTCCAGTTTCTTTCTCTGCACGAGCTTTCCAGAACTTGAAAGCGTCAAGTGCTTTGTCCTTCGACACACAAGTCATGATGGTGGTGTATCGGCTGTAATCGTCTGTAAAGGTAATGAAGTAGCGGTGGCCCTCCTTCGTCGGGTGCTCGATGGGGCCACAGATATCGCTGAAGACTCTGCCTAGAACCTCCGTGGCGTGTTCTTTGGTCGCATGGGGAATGATTGCTCGGGTTTTCTTTCCCTTCAGGCATGCGGTACATAGGATAGACTCGCCGCTTGTTATTTGAATCCCATTGGCCGACCCATATTTGACCATGGTTCGTATGGTATCTTCATCTACGTGACCCAATCTGCGGTGCCATAGTGTCAAGGTTGCTCTTGATGTTGGTGACAACTGTGTCAGAAGAGCATGTCCATTTGAGTTGACCTTAGTAACGATGGCTATGTGGGCAAGTTCGGGCTTGGTGATGTCAATGCGGAGTCGGCACAGGTTTTGGCTCCGTGGGGCCTTTGCCAATGTCTGACTATTGCTTGCACGCATCAAGGTTGCCCCATGTCGGTCAAAATACACATTGATTCCATCCTCACTCAACTTTGTAGTTGAAAGGAGCGGGTCACTGATTTGTGGTGTGTATAAGACGTCACGGAAGATCACTGATTGCTCTTTTCCGCTTAGTCTAATCTTTCCGACAATGTTGCCCATGCCACGGGCCTCGATAGCGCGATTATCTGCGACCCATATGCATGTCGGAGGTTGGAGAGTATGGAATGAGGAGAAGTGAGAGGAGTCATTTGTCATATGTGATGATGCTCCTGAGTCAACAATGAAATAGGGGTGTATGGGAGAATCCGAGAATTTACGTGTGAGGAAGAGGTCCTCATCCGAGCGCATGGTATAGGCCTTGAAGTCAGAGACAGATTCCTCATCTTCCCTTGCTGTCTTGGCTGTCTGCTCGTTCTTTCCACCATCTTTTCGGCCTTTAGGCTTCAGTTTTGGTGTCTTCGGACCAGATCCTTCAGCTCCTCCTCCCTCAGCCCAGCATCTCTCTACCGTATGTCCAAATCTTTTACAGTTTGAGCATTTCGGTCTTCCAGAGCTTTTTGGGGAAGGCTTCGTGGATTTTCTCCCACGACTCAAGTAGGCATTTTCTCTTTCCTCCTCTTCTTGATTTTCGTATTGCCTTACAGTGTCAATTGTTCCTTGCAGAGTCGGAAGTTTGTCGCGAGTGCAGAGGATGGTATGGAGAGTTTTGTATTCGAGGGGTAAGGCTAGGATGATTGCCATGACTTGAACTTCCTCTTTTAGTCCGTAACCGAGGGAATCGAGATGATTGATCATCTCGAGGATATCATGGATTTGGGGTAAGAGTTCTTTTTCAGTCGAGAATTTGGTCTGCCAAACTCTCCCCATCAGGAACACCGCGGACTGAACGCCCATTCCATCAAAGTAATTCTTTAGTCGGCTCCAAACCTCGGCAGCCGATGATTTCCCTTGAATAAGGGTTCCAACTTGGTCGTCAAGGGACATGACCATTAGCAGCAGAGCAGTGTCATTGTCCTCATCCCATTGATCGAGCGGAGATAGTTGGGTCTTTGATGGGGCCGTTGTATTTGCTGCATCATTTGGGTCCGGCCGCGATTTGTTCCCTTCCACAAGTGTAAAGAGCTTCCGCTTCTTTAGAATCAGCTCCATCCGGTATTTCCAAAATCCCCAATTTGACCCGTCCTTCTTCAGGGATTCAGCGTCAAAATGCTTTTTGGTGATTCGGTCCATGGATGCTTTATCCATTGTGGGAAAATAATTTGAGTTCTAAGTTCAGCTGTTACTTGAGAGATTTAGAGCGCTGGGCTCATAACCTGTGAAAATACTAGCGAAGTTTAACTCAGTCTCAAGCTGAATAGCGTGGAGAACTAGTTAACATTACCTAGCGAAGTTTAACTAAAGATAATACACATTTAGATATGAAGGGAAATTAGAATGAAAGAAAGTACTGACCTCAGTCTCAAGCTGAATAGCGTGGAGAACTGAGGAAAAAGGAATTGAATAGAAAGAGCGGGTATGTCCGTATAGTCGGTAGCGGATAATTCCGCGATAATAGAAAAGGGAAAAGTATTCATTTACAGGTCAGGTGAAAGTCACCTGGTCAGAAACCTCCGGAACGCGCGCTGCACTCCAACAACACCTTACCATTACGACATCCCAGAATCCTGCCATTACCGTACACGTAACACATGTCGCACTCACCGGCCAAGAGCTCCCCCGCCTCTCAAGGAAGCTCCTTTGTGGTTGTCAGCACCAGTGCCCAGACACTTTCCTTTGCCAGTGACGAAGAGGAGGTCGTTATTCTCCATCCTCGCAGGACAAGCTCCTCTCCTCGAGTCGGAACGCTCACTCCACAACTGGAGCCTGATTCCGATATCGTGCTTCTGGGCCAAAATGGACCGATGAAGAGCCCCCCTTTTGCTGGCCAATCGCCGATTACTCGATCAGACATCCTTGTGGAATCTTCTGATAGGAACTTATCTCATGAATGTGGGCCCCGAGGGGTTGCAATTGGCAACGCACTTCAACTTACACAAGCTCAGGATGACGACGAAGTGATATATGATGATTTCCATTCTACATTGGCCGGCGGTATATCAAGGCTCCGTATTTCCAGTCCTGACATTTCCTCGGAGAGCGGGCGAACGAATGGTTATCAAACAGCTGGATCTGATGGAACATCGTCTTCCCCTCCATCGCCCCCCCCTCTCACGAAAAACCAACGACAGCGCGAAAGGGGGAGGCAAGCCAAAGCTCGGGTCAGGGATACGGAGGTTGTTGAAACTCAAATCACGGAACAGGCGCAAGAAACTGTCACACCTGTGAAACTCACCAAATCTCAGAAACGGAGTGCCCAAAGGAAGCGATCGCAGGCCCGCGTTGCCGCCGCGGGTCAACCCGGAACGTCTCCCTCTCCTTCCATCTCTGGATCCACACCTGCGAGACTCACCAAATCTCAGAAATGCAATGCCCGGAGGAAACGATCAAAGGCCCGACATGCTGCCGCCACGGATCAACCCGGAACATCCTTCCAGTTGCCATCCCCCTCCATCCCTGGACCCCAACCCAGCAAAGCTTCAAAGAGCACTCTTAAAAAGCACAGAAAGAGTGCTTCCAAGAACTCCACTTTCATTGAAAGTAGTTTCTACCTCAATGCTGTCCGGCATATGACAAAGTACGTGACTCCTAGTTTGTCAATGTCGTCGCTTCGGTTCATCAAGCCGTGGCCCATAACAGTCATATTGCCGCAGCTTCCTGTCCCAATCCACCTCCCCGTAATACGCAGCAAAACCTGAAAATTGCTCAAGCTCTCCTTGTTGAAACGGGTGCTGTTCAGGATCCATCGAAGCTCCCAGCCTCCTTCACTCAGGCAAAATCACTTCTCAAATCCTCGGTGCACATCAATATACTCGATTATCTTCAGGTTAGGAAATCGGGGCTTGAGGCAATTAGAGAAGTGTTGTTCAAGAGTCTCCAAGAACTGAGGCGAGACATCAGGGATCCTAGTAGGCGGGCGGCTTTGAAGAAAGTGAAGAAGCTAGGGCTGAACCAGTTGCTGGCTATCTAGAATATCGAGGTTCTTGAATTTGTGTGGAACAGACCCTGGTCATGGACGGCTCTGCCTCTGTTCACCATTATGTACACCTTCCTAAGCAAACCACTTGATCCCACTGTACATGTATGTTGTACCCATTCCGCATATTGCACCAATACACCCTTCGTGATGATCACCAGACCCATATGTTAGCTAGACTCCCACCCCACAGCAGACGCCAGAAGGCGTCAGGTCCAGTACGCACCTCCTCCAGTAGAACTCGACTTGCCAACCCTTACTGTACACCTCAGCCGCGTCAAGTGGAATGGGAGTGTGGAAAAATGCCGACGAATGCGGAGTGAACCGCCATCAGTAGAGTTATACGCTGCGTTAGCATCTTCCCCATTTAGGCCGCCAAGCCACCTCCACAGGGTAGGAAACGCGTGAGCGGAGGCCGCGACAATGGAAAAGAGCAGAGATCTTAGGGCCTTGGCTCTCCTTTTCCATCTTATATCACCAACGGGTGCATGCAAGACTTGACTGTAACAGAACGGCTGCCGCTGCGTGAGACATGCAAGGCAATGCGCATGCCAATCTCCCTTGCGATGACAAGCTGTCACCATGGGAGCCGATGACCGGGCACTTTAGCTCAAGCACTGCATGAATTCAATGATCCACCCGACACCAAAGCGCAGCGCTAAGAGGTCCGAGAGCGCCATATGTTCCTTTCAGCTCGGATCCAATAGAGGCAGGTCATCTGCTGATCGTTCCTTGACAGGTGTCAAAAGTGGTTGGGTACCCCGGCGAAGCCGGGTGGGCCCATCATAAACTTTACTCCCCTACATCTTCGAAGTCTTACACGCCCACTAGAGATGTACACAGCGTCTCTGTATTGCATGGCTACATAATCTCTCGGTTCCAGCAACTTGAGTTGCTGCGGCAAACACTCAGCACATCTCTCAATGACGAAATTTAGCCGAGCTTCCCTACAATGATGGCCTCTTTGCTCCGCCTCTGTTGAGGCAGGGGTCCAAGAGTTGCAACTATCACTTTCGTCGGCGGCACGCTGCTGCCCGTTTCAATCAAACATGCGCAACGGGTTTCGATGATGGCCCCTAGGGCATTACACATCGGAGCATTCTTGGCCGAATGCTTCGCCACCGCATGGGCTAAATTAACTTGATGTCCACGTTCTGTTTCGCGCTCTTAATCTTCCCTCTTCAACGGTCCCGATTGGAGGGGTTGTGAATAGCCTAAGTATGCTCGGTGGTCGTGTGTTGCCTTCTCCCTCAAAGTCTGCTGACGCAACAAGGTTGTGACCCTCGAACGTAGTTGTGCGAAAAGCGCCCCGACAGCGCGGCTCAGCTGAGCGTATGGACCTCAAGGGGAATTATTCATCACGTAGCTGTGCGTTGGTTACTAATTGCTTCCCGTGCCAAGTGCTGGCACCACCAGGCAAAACTAAGATTGGATTTGTCATTGTTTGTCATTCGAGAAGAAATGGGCTACTTACGGCTGTTTTAGTTTTGGTCCATCACATCCAGCGTTTAACATGGTCTTCCTTCACGCCACGTCTAAGAAATGTTCTGCGAAGGGGCCTGTTGTAAAGGGACGCTTTTCTTCACGTGCCCCGACGATCGCCGAAAGTGACTGTCATCTAACAGTTAGTTCCTCGTACACAGCCCCCTTTCTACCGTGCCGTGCAAGCTGGGTGTGCCGAAGGCCTAGCATCAGGTGGCATCTAAAAGCAGGGGGACAAATCCATCATCGAACTTCATGCACCGCACGCACATCCGTGGGTTTCCCTTGGTCCCGGCTCTGCGCTCTCTGCCTGCTTACGAATGCGCTTATATTACAGCTCCCCTCCGGCACTTTGGGGATCCTATGTTTATTCTCCAGCTTAATTTGCCGTTTGATAATTTCGCCTTGATTCTTCTCGTTGCTGCACCGGTATAATCCGCTCTTCTCCAATAAATCTGAAAAGCCAATACGAGCCCCGGCGGCAGAACCTGGTGGGAAGTAGGGGGAATTCATCTGAAAGTCGTTTAGATTGCTAGCGGTAATTGCAAAACCCACACCTCGTCACTCGCTATTAGTCAGAGTGGAAGCCTTTCAGAGACAGCATTAACTTCTTACACTCAGTTTTCACCAAACGAGACATGCGAGGACTAGTGTAGTATGCATGTCAGATGTTCCTTAGTGTGGACACGAGCTGTCGCATTTGTTGATGCCGCACGCACGATAGCCATCATGTAAGTTATGACCGAATCTGTTCCGCAATTCCACCCACAGTGAGTTCAAACTATCCGCTTGCATAGATTGATAATCTTTGGGCTGAGCATATGACTACTAGCAAGATCAACCAGATAGTCTGAGAATCAATCAGTCACTTAGTCGTGATGATGTTATTGGGTCGACGAGCTCAATAGCAGTTGATTCCTCGTATGCAGGTCGGGGAAATGCTTCTGCACAAACTCGCCACTAGTGGGCTCTGCCCTATAATCCATGTAGGAAAGCCACCTCCAAGTTTCCGGCCAGGATCTGATAGTTCGAAGCTAGAGCATGCCGCAGGAAGTAGAGCATCAGCACGAAGGGGATACGGGCTGCGTAATTTGTGCTCTGAAATGGGGTGGTGGTAAGTGCCTGTTGGTGGGACTATATCAACTATCGCACATCCGTCATGGACGCCTGAATCCAGGATCCTCCTGCCTTTGGGTACAACGCCTTCGGCTCATGAGCTAGCGGCCACCTTGTTCGCCGAGAAAAAAGCCCTGCACACGAAATGACGTGCAAAGAAAAAGGCATCATGGAAGAGCCACAACTCCAGCTGCGTGTGCAGTGGCACCATAATGCTCGAGCAATGTAAGAAACAGTACTATCGCGTGTATGTGGTGACGTCGGGGCAACCTCACCGAATCACCAAGTAACAAGTAATTTTGGGCAAGTGAGGTTACAGGAAGTTTTTTAACGACAAGCAGGGCTGTCACGTTTTCAACGTCAGCCAACGCTAATTGCCGTCAACGCGTGCTACGCGCTTACGTTGAACGCTTCCAGTTATCCTATTACACCTCTGATCAACGTTTCAGAGTCGTCACCACAGCCAACTGTATACAGCATGGTTGAACCAGACATACAAAGTTGATGACCGTCTTCCCCTTCATTGCTCCATGGCCTGTAGCAGTTGTTCCAGGGAACAACGGAGGTCGGCAGAATTTGTTCCCACCTGAACTGGACTGGGGGGCACGGCCTGAGTGTCACTGGGAGCAGCGAACTGCCTGCTTGGAAGTTGCCATTCTCCCGCTTCCACTGGGAAATTGCGCTCTGTCATGGCAGAGGTCTATGTGCTCGCGAATAGTCTGAGAACCAATGTTACACGGTTGGATGAGGAAGCAAGGATGTGCATGTGTGAATCCACGACGCGCAATGTCTCTGTGCATTACAGCTGTCCAAGATATGTGATTCACAACTCAGATGAGGGCCATGTCTTTTATTGGAAGCCCACCGGATCTTCCACCCTCGCCCAAGCCAGGCGACGCAGTCGACTATGATATAATGATATTGGACTACTAACGACCCAACATGGCCTTGCTGTCTCCATGTTTAACAGATTCGCGTCATGTTGTTCAAACACCACTTCGAACCCGAGCTACGAGTTGCTGTATACACCAACCGAAGGCTGGCTCTCAAGCGTACACGCTTCTTCAGCACCGAGCCATCGAACATGTCCGACTCTGAGACTGAGCCACTTACCGCCCGGGCTGTCGGAAGTCAGCTCTATCCGGCACATACTGAGGGCATATCTACCAGCAGCCATGCTACTCAGGTCCCCCCAGTCTTGGAGGTGTCCCAAAGGGACTTGGTTGTGAGGGCAAGGTTTTGGCAACCTCTCATTGCCGTCCGGCCACGTCTTAGTGTATGCCGCGCTCCGGTTTCTTCGTGGTTGTACCATTCTCCCCGTTCACAACGCCTGGAGTTCTGCCTGTAGGCATCTTGACAGTGGATCATGGATGAGTCGCTAAGACGTGCGAAGCGCGCCCAAAACACGCAACATTAATTAGTGTGTGCATTTTCCGGACCCCTTGGGGAGAATACAATAGAATTTAGTACTTTTTTCACCCAGATTGGACTATTTGCGTATCACGCTTTACGGCAACCTGATCGGGGTCTAAGCCCTAAGCCCGTGCTGCCACACGGCTATTTTCCCTGGAGCGAGCGCGCGCTCTGCCCTGACCCAATTTTTTTTTCCTTCGTGAATGGGTTTTTTTTTGCGCTAGCGGGCGGAATTCTGTGCAAACTCTCAGCGGTCTCAACTAGCTGTCATCCCCCGTGCTTGCATCTCTCCAATGCTTTGGTTCTGGCTTCTCGTGGCTATAAGCGGCTTTCAGCCATCATTACTTTACATACCTCAGCCCCTCATTTCCAATCACGGCCTTCCATTGAAACACCATTTTCACTCCTTGGTTTTTGGTGCTTATTTATTTCCCTGCTGATTTTTGCTAGAGACATGCCGCGAAGGGTCTTCTGCGGAGTATTGCGCCCGCACTTGCCCGACCCATACGAACATAAAAGGACCGGTCTGCAGTCCCAGTCCTCCTCACCACCATGTCATCTCCCGCAAGTGCGATCAAACGCCCCAAAGAGACAAACGGTTGTCTCATTTGCAGGCTACGTAAAAAGGTTCAGCTCAACACTTGATGTATATCGGCGTAACATGACTGGGCCCCCTCCACCTTGCCTTCGACTTAGAAATGTAACCGAATCAGCGAGGGCGATCGCAGCTGCGAAGACTGTTCCCGGCTCCTGCTCCACTGCATTCCCCAGCACGGCGTCCTGCACCTCGATACGGCGGTAAGTTGAACTGTACTGGCGGGTCTGACATTCGTTTCGCTGCATGAATAACCTCTTCCATTCCATCTATCAAGGAACTGGCCAACATGGCGGAATGGTGCAAGATAGAAATCAAGAGTGCCATAGATGCCCGACGAACCCGATGCGAGATGGGTACTCAGTTGTCACTATTTCTCTTGCACTATGTTGATCTCTGAATCTTAGTTCCGCTCCCCCGTACCTTGGAACTGGCGAACACGTTACGAAATGCTGAGATCACGACCGATCCCGCTGTCCAGAACGCATGATGTTGCATTATTGGGGGTGGGGGGCTCTTTCAGCCTCGTGCTGTGACGGAGCGATCGACTGTTTCATGTCCACAGGACCGAGGAGCCGGACCCCACCTAGACGACGTTACGTGAAATTTTGCGGGCAAATAAATGGTTTCTTGATAGTTTGGGGGGGGGGGGGGGGATCGATTTTAGACACACGAGACTGCGAAGAGTGGCTTATTCAAGGCATCAGTCTTGTTCCCAAATGATAGCTGATGAAATAGGATTATCCAGCCATATGCTGAGGAGTGCAGCGGATCACTCGTGTGCAGAGACTGTCTTGGTGTATCGGTGTCATACCATCTCAAGACAGCCGACTGAATTCTTTGCCCTGCTTATGGATGAGATAGGCCCACCGGCCCGTAAAATGATTTGAGGTAAGGTGGCTTGCACTCGAGGAGACCTCCGGAAGCAAGCTTCCGGAAGTCCCGGGTGGTCGCGTGTCGTTGGATTTAGGAGCGAATGGATTACTATGAGTCAGCGTTGAACTTTCTAGACGATGTTACGTAGAATGTTTATTTGGTGGGGCTCGGAGGACAGAGAAACAGTCACGTTGCATCGTCCAGGAAGGAGTTAGTCCCATGCAAGCGACTGGACCTTCCCAAAGCACTTACCATTTGAAGATCTCACGAGTTGCAGGGGATAAGTGAGCTGACCCCTTAGGATGCCTTTCTTAAATTGTTTGTGTTGAGATACAAGTCACTGCAACGCGCGCTGTGTTGACGTCTGACCTCCCAGCGCTACGTCATGCCAGCATCTGATTAGTCCGATCTATTTAGCAGTTTGTGCAATACATGAATCTCCAATCGTGCATGGCAAACGATCGAAGACAGACCCTCAGACCAGACTCTTTCTGACGGTCGGTGAAAGCCACGTCCAGGAAGCCGAGAATGCGAGCTTGCATGGACGAGAAAGGAAATTTACGATTTTGGAACAGCTACGGATTTCCGGGTGACGTTGGCACTTCCGGGAAATCGATTGAGTAGCAGAATGCTCAACGTGTTGCATGGAGATCATTGTGCGGTGATCATGATGAATGATGCGAGATACCGCCGGTACCAATTGTTGCTTGATTGATGTGTTCTTCATTGCCGACCACCGCAGGCTACCGCTCTAAGCAATATTGCATATATTAACGCTTGTTGTACTTATACTCAAATGATGCGCGATGCGCTGGAATTTTTCCCTCCCTCAACTCCCTATATACTTACAGTAATTCGAGACTGAGGTGATACCCTTTCTTAGCTTATCGTATTTTCGTATACCGATTGTACTTTGACGTTATAGTCGGTGCGTGCAGGTAAAGGGTTACAATAATAAATAGTTTTCTATTTGTGACCAATACATTAGTCCCAGAGAGTCAGAGACCGCAATCACTGCCAGACCGGGCGTCTGACATTTGACCATGTGACCAGATGGTTTGACATTCGTCAGCCTGCCCGGATTACAACCTCCCCAGACTGCAAACGACGTTGGTGAATATCGTGTCGTCAACTGAATCACCTCCGGCATCCTTATCCCGTGATGCCAGAAATGGAAGGGACCTGTCCGAGGGTAACGTCACCCTTTCACACCACTTACATCCAGGATACCAAGGGAACAACGAAACCATGAGCGCCCAGATACCCGAGACACAGCAAGCATGGTGCGTCACGCGTCATCATGGATAGGTTTTTACTCACCATTCTGCTACAGGATGGTGATGAGGAAGGGTGAGCCTAAGGATGCATTGGAGATAAAGACTATTGCTGTTCCAAAGCCCGGTCCTGGACAAGGTGCTGCCCTTTATATGATTGCTCCCACGACGTCGTTGACACTCTCCACTTCAGTTCTCCTCAAAGTGGAAGCGGCGGCTTTGAACCCGATGTGTGTATCTTACGCTTTTTTTCCGTCTCGCGCGTTCCCCACCCCTGCTATCACTGCTTATGGTGAACTCGTCCATCCAACTTTCGCCTTCATAGTGGATACAAAATAATGCGAAACATTCCAAACCTCTTCGTCTCCCGTCCTCATATCGCTGAGAAGGATCTCGCCGGAACAGTTGTCTCCACGAACAACTCTACGCGGTTCAAACCAGGAGATAAGGTCATTGGATTCCTAGCCCGAGTTGGGAAGGATACGGGTGCGTTGGCACAGTACATTGTCGCCGAGGAGGGAAATTTGGCGATTAGGCCCGATACTTTGAGTGTGGAGGAAGGAGCGGGACTGCCGCTGGTTGCATGTACATCTTGGATCTGTATTTTTGAGATCGGAAAGGTCGAGGAAGGTCAACACGTTTTTGTTAATGGAGGCAAGTGGCAACGCGATAACACGACAAGTCTTCCTGGGTTCTCATATATTTTTTGTGATATTACAGGAAGCTCGTCTGTTGGTATAACGGCGATACAGATGTTGAAGGCTCACGGATGCAAAGTCTCAACGAGCTGTTCCACCAAGAACATCGACCTTGTTAAAAAATTTGGGGCAGATGTCGTATGTTCATCTTCCTCATCACTCCTTATATTGCTTCCACTTTATACAGGTCTACGATTATACCACGTCTCCCCTCCCCTCCCAACTATCTACTATTAACCCCCCAACACCCAAATTCCACTTTATTATAGACGCGGTGGGCAGCTGGCCGCTATACTACGATTCTGAATCGTACCTCGCTCCAGGTGGGTTGTTTATTTCTCCGGGATCGGGTTTATGGGGTTGGAGCGATTTCGGGAGGGAATCATGGGGCTTTTGGAATGCTTTCTTCAGGCCGACTTGGATGGGGGGCGTCAGAAGGAAGTTCATGTGAGTAATACCCTGGTTGTTCTTTGCGATGCGTACATGTATGAATTGATGTGTCAATGGTACGCTCTAAGCAGACCACCCTATGCCATCCCTAATGGCGAGCGAATGGATGGAATTGCGGACTTGGCAACGCAAGGTAGGGCATACCATACCCACGATAACAAATTTCTTATTTTTCCCTTCGTTTAGGCAAGCTTACCGTCCCGATCGATTCTGTGTTCGAATGGGAAGACGTGTTGAAAGCGTATGATCGCCTCGTGTCGAAAAGAGCGGCGGGGAAGATTGTCGTGAAGATCCCCGCCTAATTTCCGGATGAATGTTCTGTTTTTTGAGTGCTTGCAGTCCATGGTTTTTATGACTGTCTCAATGTGCTGCAGACAGGTATTAGATCCAGACTGCTTTAGCCCAGGGCTTGCCTATGAAATTTAGGCTTGTATATCATACTAAAGAATAGGATAGGTATCGATTCCATAACGGCATCTTCACGAGCCCTGTTGGTTGTACAGGGCAACCTGGAGAAATCTTAGGCGCAAGATCAGTCTATCGAATTTACGAAGGTGATGATGACAGACGAGATGATCACATCGGAGGATCTAACAGCAGTCGGAAGGCTCGAGGCGGTACCTACAGCATATGAGGCTGATAACGAAGATGAAGGCGGGGGTGATGTAAAGTCATGTTACCGCTTAGGCAACATGTCCCACACACAGCGCTAACGTGCAACATCCCACACCCGCGACACCGCCACCCCGATCCGTCCGTGCGCCGATCCCTCTATACTTTAAAAGCTATCCTAGATAATATAGCTTTGGGGCTTCCCTTTGTTTTTCCGTTAACCCGAGTGTTACGGCTGAGCGTCTATAGGTCGACTCATAACAATAGATAATGAAGGCGAAGATAACTAGGCTAGCACTGATAACACTGATAACACAGGGGTAGTCAGCGACGCGAGTTGAACAGATAGCCACATGTTGTTCGACGTAGCGAAGGCCTGGTGGAAAGCGAGCTAGAAATGTAGCCATGTATGTTATGATCAGTTTGAAAAATTAGAAACAAGCCCAACAGAAAGCCCATTTGTGTTTCATCCATACGTCCACGTTGAACCTACTATAGAGGCTGGGTCCTGCCTACGCTGAACCTTTGCTACATAGTTGCGGACTGAAACGAGACATGCAGGTCCATAAATGCCAAGCGGCCTTCATCAAAGGCCGCAGTATTTTCGACCAAATAGATCTCGTCAACCGTATGACCGACCTATGTGAACTAACTGGACAAGATGGTGCAATTATCGCCCTCGACCAAGAGAAGGCATATGACCGCATTCGGCACGATTACCTCTGGAGAGTCATGGAGTCCATGGGAATCCCCCCTAACCTCATATTGACAATCAAAAATCTCTACACCGATGCTAAAACAAAAGTAATCCTAAACGGCATGATCAGCCGTGAATTCCCAATAACAAGAGGGGTCCGCCAAGGCGACCCCCTGTCCTGCCTCCTCTTCAATATCGCCATAGAACCTCTATCGATCGCCCTCAGAGAATCCCCATCCCTCCGAGGCCTAGAGATCAACACCCCCACTCTCTCACAGAGAGTTATAATATCCCTCTTCGCTGACGATGCCGCTGTCTTCCTTGCCAAAGACGATGACCTGAATACCCTACTCTCAACTCTAAACTGCTGGTGCATCGCATCAGGGGCCAAATTCAACCAAGAAAAAACCATCGTCCTCCCTGTCGGCTCACCGGAATACCGCGAAAGGGTACATAACGAGAGAACTATTAATCCCTCCTCCGATGTTAGCCTAAATGAATCGATAACCATTCTAAAAGATGGACAAACAATGAGATACTTAGGGGCCCAATGCGGGAACAAGCCCAGTCATAAAGACCCCTGGCCCTCAATCACAACAAACATTGAAAAGTCGCTTACCCAATGGAACAAAACCCACCCCTCCCTTGAAGGCAGACGCCTGATCGCCCAAATGACCATCGGTGGAATGACCCAGTTCCATACCCGTGCCCAAGGAATGCCAAAAGACGTGGAAAAATGCCTAAACAGAAGAATACGTGAGTTTATTTGGAACTCCGACTCCCCCCCCCCTATGAGCATGGACCAGCTAAACAGACCAAAAGCCCAAGGCGGAAAAAACGTCCTGAACTTACGAGACAGAAACGAGGCGATCCACCTCATCAAACTCCAAAAAATCCTCGATAGATCTCCCAATAGGCCCCCGGCCTCAGACGCCGCCGAAGCCATCCTACTAGCCGTTCTCCCAAAAAACCAATTGCCCCAAGACCCGGCACACCCCTTCATCACAAACATCTTCACCCAAAAACCCTTCCTCAACGCCCGAACCCATCATAGGAATATCCCAGCTGAACTCCGAAACACCCTGAACGTCGGAGCTAAATACAACCTCAGATTGGAGAACCCGACAATTGATCTTGGTACAAAGCTTAACCTACCAGCCTGGGCCCACCCGGGTCTTGAAAACAACCTGAGAATCAGCGACCGCTCAAAAACGGCATCCTGCCTAAGAGCGTCCCATAGTTGCAAACACGTCGGTGACCTTGTCGCCCAAGTCGACCACCAAGAAAACCCGGCCCATGACCCCACAAAAAGAAAGTGCCCCTGCCCCCCTGCACGACCTACAGACTGGCTGGCTGTAAAAACCCGGAAGGATGTTACCAAACGGCAATGAAAATTGCCACGAACCTCGACCTCCATTACAGCCCATACAGCGACTCGCACCTTCTTCCCCTACCGGACCGCCCCCCTGAGGAAACAGCCAGGCAACATGCCATCGGAAACCCAAATGACATCAAAATCTTCCTCCCATCCCCCCAATTATGTTCCCCGCTCCACCACCACTACAGAGTATTCGGCAGAACCCCCCGGAAACCCCAAGGGACCTGACCCCCCAATCCCAACAAACCAGCAATGTGGTGGCATTCACGGATGGATCCTGTCCTCAAAATGGAGACACTAACGCGAAAGCCGGCTTTGGAGTATGGTACGGCCCAAACGACCCTGGAACACTAGCAAAAGAGTCAACCCACGCTACCCACAATCCAACAACACAGCGGAAATACTTGCCATACACCACGCCGCCACCTCCACACCCCTATCATCGAACCTCCACATCAAGTCCGACTCGGAGTGGTGCATCAACACCCTCTGTGACAACCTTGAATCCCACGAAGACTCGGATTACGCCTACATAAAAAACCAATACATCATTAAACTGGCCGTAAGCGCCCTAAGATCCAGACTCACCCCAACTTCATTCGAATGGCTAAAGGGCCACGCAGGAATCCACGGAAACGAAGAAGCGGACAACCTGGCCGCAACAGGCGTCCTCCTAGATCCGGATCCTCTCCCACCCGTCATGCCCCCCCTCCCCCACATACCGAGCGGAGCCCGCCTCTACGCCCTGAACCAATCTACAGCAACGAGACTGATCCGCAGAACCAGGTTAACTAAGAAACTCGATGTTAGAACAACAACGTCTAACAACATCGCTAAGATCCAGTCAACCCTGGAGAACCTGGGCAATGCCTCCCCCTCACAAGAGAGAATCTGGGAATGCCTGGGGAAAACCCGCAAAGAAATCTCCCCTGAGATCCGAAACTTCCTTTGGAAGCTAACCCACGGCTGCCTCAAGATCGGTGAGTACTGGAAGAAAATCCCAGGCTTCGAACACCGGGAGAGTGCAACCAATGCCAACAAACTGAAACAATGACTCACATTCTATTTGAGTGCCCCCTCAATCATAGCGAATGGGTGTGGTCGACTGCCAAGAAAATGTGCCACCGAAGGAAAATTGCATGGCCCCCAACGTTAGACACTTCACACGTGATGGCCGCCCCGATCACTAAGATAATGAACAGTAAAGGAAACCCGAGTAAAGGAGAAACCAGACTGTACCAAATAGTAATCCCCGAGTGCGCGTGGCAAATCTGGAAGGCCAGATGCCGGAGAGTCATTGACCCCGACCACCCGCGAACCACTCCGAGCGAAATCAGAAACGCCCTCCGAGCCGGTCTCAACGACAAACTCCAACAAGATATTGCCCTGACAAATCGTAAGAAATACGGCCGAAAGGCCCTGCCGGCCAAGCTAGTCCTGCTCACCTGGAGCGGGAACCTCCATGAAGAAGGGAAACTGCCGGACAACTGGCTTAACAGCCCCGGGGTTTTAGTGGGTATACCGGACCCCCCATGACCGGGGCCGGGAGTCCCACACAGCGCCGATAACCGGCCAGTGCGCAACGCATTTCCCCGCGGTGGCAGACCGGCACAGACCACTCTATGGGATCCTATCTCCCTACACAAACCCCAAATACATGACCATGTATCGCGAAAGCTACTGGGGTTCCACCAAAAAAAAAAAAAAAAAAAAGAAACGAGACATGCAAGGTAACGGTCACGACACTGTCACAACAATTCTAACCGACGACGACGCGACAAAGCCCACGATAAGTTACGCGTCTCGCTTCAATGCCACCCCTTGAAGCAATTGTTTTCCACTCCAATGGATTGCTGGAAAAGTCTTCTTCTCTGAAAGACGCGTCTTTGGTGGAAGCAGACTCCCAACTCGATATGACGTTTGAGTCCAATGGGCTTTTGGAAGATGAGTTTGGCAGGAGCAATGGCGCGAGTGGACTGGATGCAGCTTTCAAGAACGCAGGCGTTACGAACGGGCTGGAGGAGACGCAACGAACCGCAGCAGGCATGGAAGGTGATGAAACGTTAGTATTCGAGCAAAATGGGTTGCTTGAGGAGTTGGGGGAGAAGGTGAAGATGGTGCATTAGACTTTGGGTCACCGGCACATTCTTCCCCGATGACTAAAGATTTAGGTGCGTCCACCCACTTCCTAGTACCATGATAATCCAAACCCCGATCCAGGCTTTGGTTTACCCCAATTCCGCACCGCAACAGACATCCTCTCGTCAATCAATCGATCAAATAACCTCCACCGTCCTAAGGTGCTGGCATGCAAGAGTTTTGACGGGAAGACCGTTGTCCTCACATATCGGCCGCCTGAAATGCGTGTCCGCAAATCGGAAGGGGTGAGTGTTAATTGGCTTTCTTCGTAATGCCATTTTTAATAGTCGATGTTGCGGCATCTCAATAGGTTTCGACATCGATGGATGGAGTCCAACTTCTCGAGGTTCCTTTCCACCGATTAATGGATCAACTTGCAAGGGAAGCCGCCAATGCAGACAATACCATTTCAACCACAACCACTGTCATCTCCTCGCCCTCCTCTGCTTCAAAATCTCCCGACGCCCTAGACATGTGGGTGGACCGCTACCGTCCTCGGAAATTCATGGACCTGATGGGAGACGAACGTGTGAATCGAGAGGTGATGTCTTGGTTGAAGGAATGGGACCATTGCGTGTTTGGAAGAAATCTTTCTCTTCTGAGGAAGAAGAGGAAGAGAGAAAATGAGGGATGGAGTGCGAATGGGAATGCAGTATCGTGGAATGGAAAGAGCAGAGAGGATGGGAACTATAAGGATTTTGGAGGGGACGAGGATCCGTGGCAAAGGCCCAGAGAGAAGGTAGCTCTATTGGGGCGATTTGGTTAATGCTGCTAAGTAATTTTTCTAAGATTCTGCTTTTATCTGGACCCCGGGTCTGGGAAAGACGACTCTCGCTCACGTCGTTGCGAAACAAGCTGGGTATGCTGTTCTAGAAGTCAACGCAAGGTAGGAATGTTCAATGATAGTCACCTTTTGCTATTAGAAAATCCAATATATTTTTACCGCAGTGATGATCGATCAGGAGCCGTCATCGAAAATCGAGTTCGACCGGCCCTCGAGAGTGGGCGTGCGATGGGAAGCTCGTTACCCGTTTGCGTTGTTGTTGATGAGATCGACGGAGCGACAGGCGAGCAGGGTGGAATGGGCTTCGTTGGCAAGCTTGTTAGCCTGACCTTTGATCCACCGAATCTCAAGAAGCGTGCGTAGCGAACTTGGCGAGCCCGTCCTCTGTTGTTGACGAGTGTGTCTAGGGTTGGGAGCTGACATGAAGAAAACGAAACGCCCTCTTATGCGGCCAATCATCTGTATTTGCAATGATCTGTGAGTCCATGTTTATCTGTTACAATTATTGACGAAATAAACCCTGGATTGTAGGTATGCCTCTTCATTAGCGAAATTACGACCTCATGCACGTATTTTACGGATGAATCCCTCGCCGCCTGTCTTGCTCACCAAGCGACTCCGTGATATATGCGAACATGAGAATCTCAGGGCAGAGTCTCGTGCTTTGACGTTGCTCACTAGTATCTGTCAAGGGGATTTGAGAGCTTGTCTGAATGTCCTGCAAGTAAGTCTAATCATCGTAACTTGGGGTATTTTGGGGAAATGGCTTGTTCATCTTCGCTATGCTATATGATTTAGGGCATCAAGACTCGGTCTCAAGCTGTCACAGAATCCGCCGTTCGGACATCTACAAAAGGTATCAAGCAGGGGGATGTGGCGACCCAGTTCGTCTGGTCCGAGCTGCTTACTCCGATGAATAAGAAGAAGGCCAAAGGCTTGGGTTTGACAGAGGTGGAGGAATCGAAATACGTTTCGCGTCTTGGGAGATGTATTGACGGGCACACGGGTGGGGCCGATAAGGTCGTACTCGGTATGCATTTCATATCATTGCTGTACCCTGCATCAGTATTGTAAACTGTTTCTTCTAGGGATGTTCGAACATTACACAACACTTCATCGGAATGACACCACCCTTCGACGATTTGAGGCCGCAAACGAGTGGTTATCGAATTATGACATGATGTCGTCGTCTATGCGAATCGAGCAGGAATTTGGGTTAATGCAATATTTGCCTTACTCTATCATCCCTTTACATCATCACCTAGCCGTAGGTGGACCCACGAACCAAAGGGTCGAAAGGCCAACTGCATATTGGGATGTGAGTCTTAGTTATTTGGCACCGTTCTTGTATTGCGAACTGTTTTATTCTGTAGTCTTTCAATGCGGCAAAGTCTGGGGAAGAAGTCCTTGATTCTTTGAGAAAGGCTGTATTGAAGACTGCGGTTGGGGATAAATGCTCTGACATTCTGGGCTATCGCTATTTACTGGGTTGGGATGTTCTACGGACGGAGTTTGCACCATTACTCAATAGAATCATATCTCCTCCAATTCGTCCGGTGAGCAAGAAAGTCACTCATTTCACATCGTTAACGTATGTTTCTCAAACGACTTTGGCAGATCAACAAACACCTGATAAAGGGGGAAGAGTTAAAGTTGATCAACAGACTAGTGAATATCATGGTGTCACTCGGATTGCGGTTTGAGCAAGAGCGCACTGAAGATGGGCAATTGGCGTATCGTCTCGAGCCGTGGGTCTAATCCATCAAGATCTCTTTGCATCTTACCCCTGAATGGCTCATATTTCAACAGACCCATCGACGTTTTTACGACGTACGAAGGGAAGAAAGCAAGTGATATTGCTGCCTCTCGGTACGTCGTTCGACGGATGATTGCGGCGGAGGTATGCTTTGTTTTGTTTGTATGGTGAACGCATACTCAATGGAAACCCACAGATCGAACAGGTTATTTCGGCTTGGCAGAATGATGTTGTTGAGAAAGGTGTCACAAGAGGGGGAGGCAGAAAGGCAGCGTCCAAAGAAAGGTCGGGAGGTAATGATATCGATATTGCGGATCAAGTAAGCCTCTGTTTTATCGCCTTTCGTTTGCTCATCCTATACATCATGTTAGCCTGTTGTGGACTTCTTTGGCCGGCCAATCGCGGAGATAACTCCAAAACCTGTTTCAAACCGATCGGAACCACCGCTGAATGATGGTCAGTTTTGGGCTGTCAGAATTTGATTGACGGAACACTTATTTCTGTTCTGTTCTATTAGCTGTCGCTACTTTTAGACTACATTACAAATACAATGAAGGCAACTCCTGTGCCGTTCGCAAGCCCACCAAAATGGTGTCCTTCTTATAACATAACATTAGTATCACATCTTCATATGTCATGGGGACTTGTATCATGATCACTTTGGGCTATGTCATTTCATTATACGGCAATTGACCACTCAATGCACTCGCACTTTCCCTCAACGTTCCCATGCCTCTCAACAGCGAAGTGTACCTTGGGTGGGTTCCAAACTGGCACAGTTTGTAGATTAGTAACCGAAGTAAATATATCTCAAACATGGAGACAAAATAATGGATGTGGAAGGATTTTTGCGAGATCGTGATTTGAATACCAAAATAAGCAAGACCCAACAATGCAATGCTCAACTATCATCATCATCCTGTTGGAAATCATTGTGGTTACACTAAATATTGACCCATTTGGCCACCTTCATCCCCGTGACAACCAATTCGATCGTGGGGTATGCATGTCCCCGAAACAGGCTCTTGGCCAAAGCCGGGCCAGCCGTTTCATTCACAAACCGTGAACATTGTTGTAGGTAAGGTGTGTCGATCGACGTCCTCAACATCAGGATAACTGTACGTTGCACTACAGACCTGTCCTCTATTCCTTGGGTGTTCTACTTCCTATTTATTGCCATAAGTGGCATATTCGGTAAGCTCGAAATCCGTTGTTGGCATCATTCCCAGCCCTGCACCTAACAGAATGCACTACGTTTGCCTCCAATCTCATTATAGATATGTCAGGGCACACCTGCCTGACCCGGGTCCACCTGGACCCACCCAGCCACACCACACCCACCCCCCGCTGTCCATCCCTCTCCCTCCTCCCTCCTCCCTCTCTTCCCCTTTCTTTTCCCTCTTCCTTCTCCTTTCTTTATTTCATTCTTCTCATCTTCCTCTTCCTGTTTATTTCCTTCTATCTACATGGACCATCTTCCTTTGTATCGATGTACTATTGACCCATCCGGCCCACACACCCCAGATGGCTTCCCGCTGTGCCCAGCACGTGCGCATGCAGCAGACGCTCTCAGGATCCCCCACAGGGACACCCGGATGCCTGTGGCTGTCTCCGAGGATGACGTGGCACTCATCATGTGACTCAAGCCACATGTACATAAATGTACCTGAAGTGGGAACTGAAGAAGTAACCTTCTTCTCACATTCTCCACTTCAGGTAAGTAGTATAGTTTTCCCCTTTAATAATAATAACACATTCTCCACTTCAGTCTGAGTGGCCAGGGACCATTGTCCCGGATTGGGCCCGCCAGTATGCACGCCCACTCCACACCCCACGACGGCCTCAGTGCCAGGCATTACCCCTGGGCCCTCTCGACCCCAGACGCGTCCCTGACAGCAGAAGAAGGTTTTAACCTTATCTCCCCCGCCTCCCCCATCTCCCCAGCCATGGTGTCAGAAGAACAGTATGACGACCTGCTGGCCCGCTTCCAGGAGCTCCAAGCCATTGTGGAGAGCCAAACCCGCAACCACCCCCCACCCGCACCTGCACCCGCACCCGCGCCTGCACCCACGCCTGTACCCACACTCGTGCCTAGACCCAAACCACCGAAGGTCGCTGCCCCCACTCCCTTCTTGGGAGCCAGTGAAGACCTCAATCGTTTCAAAGCCGAGTGTGGGATCTACTTTCATGTCCGTGCAGCTGAGTTCCCTACCAAACTATCCCAGATCCTCTTCGTCCTCTCCTACATGAAGGGAGGACCCACAGGGGCGTGGGCGACACAATGGACGATCACCCTGTTGACAGCCAGCTCCCCCACCATAACCATGGACGAGTTCAACACAGAACTCGATGCCATGTTTCAGGACCCAAACCGGGAGGCCACAGCTCAGCAGAAGTTGGCAGTCATCTGCCAAGGGACTGACTCCGTGGATAAGGTCATCCAGGAGTTCGAGATATTGGGACCTGCCTCGAGGCTAGGCGATGTCGGACTGGTCGACCGGTTCGAGCAAGCGATTAACTCCCGGCTCAGGGAGAGTATATACTGCCTCCGCCCCATGCCCGCCACTTGGACTGAGTGGAAGCATGAAGCCACACTTCTGGACAACCAGTGGCAACGTTTCCAAGCCACCCAACCACGCGCACCTGTCAGGGCACACCCGCCTGACCCGCCTCCACCCGGACCCACCTCACCCGGTACCCCTTCTCCCACCCTGCACCCTTCCTTCATATCCCTTCCCCCTCTATCCCTCTCCCATTTCTATTTCTATTCCACATGGACGACCTTTCCCTTATATCTATGTATTATTGACCCGCCCGTGACGTGCACATGACATGCCTAGCCCCAGACGACCCTGGACGGCTCTAGGGCGCAACCTAGTGCACGCACGTTGTAGGAGAAATAATATTCAAAGAATAAAACAATGATCTATCAGAATAGTCAACGAACAGGTGACAAGTTCAGACGTTTAACAGATCTCATGATCTTTATGAGACTGGACAGACATTAGATCATTATAAATTATCTACACCCATGTAGTATGAGATTTAATCTACTACAATCATGCCTAGAACTTGGCATAGGTGTAATATTCAAAGAATATAACCCTACAACAAGAAAATAGCACATAGATGGCAGAATAAGAAGGAACATTGGGAAAGAAATGTAAATATCTCGGGAACCAGTGAACTTTTGACTGTAATATTTTTACCATCTGAAAGGACTGTTTCTTAACTTTATTCACGGTTTTGTTTCATTCTAAAAGCTTCAAAACTGACGGAGATATCGCTCAAACGGCGAAACACCTTATAATTCATATATATTTATTTGCTAATTCTTACAAAAAGTAATGTGACTCAAGGGAAATATATTGGCACCCGGAAGTCTGGCGGACCGAATACCATATGATAGAGTATTCCCCGGCGTGGGCGGACAGTTTTTGATCGCATCAGAAGAGGAGAAAATGCTAAAAAACCGGATCTTGTATATTTTCCCATGATTCATCAAAACTTTTTGATTTTAAGCTCAAATAAATCGGAACAAAGGAATGATTGATGATCTGGATCTCGGATCATAAGCATGAAGTGATTCAGAAGTCCGCGGATCGGTTAATTAATTGGGAAGGCTCTAGAACATTAGTAATGATGTGGCTTCACAAAAAAGGGGTCAATTAGAGAACAGTCTAGAAAGTTCCTTTATAGCCAAGTCATTTCTAAAGATAACCGTTCGTAATTAAGGCGGTGTGGAGCATAGCTTCAGCGCTACAAGATCCCGCTAAGATCGGCCCAAAAGACAAAGAAATGAATTACTTATTGCTGAGTCATGTCCTAAGTCCATTATTAAGCTTACACAGCCCAAGCCCCTATATCATTCTAGAACTATCTATAATACAAATGTAGCACATGTAACTAGTGCGAGGTGTGGGAGTAGAGAGGCCTCTGAAAAGCATAAAAGGCCGCCGCTTCTGCCCCCTCTCAAACCTCAGGTAGAAATAAAAGTTTAATTCTCCTCACCAGTGGTTGGTTCGTTTGCTCCAAAAGATAAAAGCAAATATTAGTTGTTAGCTAATATAAAACTAACACGTCACTCTAAGCGTGAGTTAGGGTCAGTTAGACACAGCTGAACAAAAGTGTCATAGTGAGAATTAGTGAGAATTTGGTGGAGGGACTTCTTAATTGAATAATCTCTCAGCAATTTTTGGTTATCACACCACAGGAGAAAAGTGAGCGATCCTGAACCTGCTAGATAACTAGCATGCACTCTAAGCGATAGAAAGAGCAGTTTGGTCACTCCTGTATTGAGTAACATTTATTGCGGAATTATTTTATTAGCAGTTTTCCTTCAGTAAATTATCAGGAAAATCACATCCTACTGAAAAGTGGTAAATATAGGTGTAATATTGACTAGAAATCATAGTAAAGTCAATATAGAATTTTATCCGTAGATGATCTATACGTCAGGTGAGATCGTTGGGGGGTGTTTATTGTTGTTTAGACAGTGAACAATCATATATTTGGCAACCAAAACACGGTCAGTACGCAAATCAGCACAAAACTCTAATATCGTTATTGGACGTAGGAAACTGGTTACATAAGGTGATCCAGCTCCGCTCCTTCAACGTGCAGCATACGCCCTCGGGATCCCCCACGGGGACACCTGGGTGACTGCAGCTGTATGCGGGGTGACGTGGCGGACCTCATGTGACCCAAGCCGCATGTATATAAACACACATGGGGTGGGAACCGAAGAAGTAACCTTCTTCTCAACATTCCCACTTCAGGTAAGTAGCATAGTTTCCCTTTTTAATAATAACTCAACATTCCCACTTCAGTCTAAGTGGCCAGGGATCGCTGTCCCGCATCGGGCCTGCCAGTACGCACGCCCGATCTACCCCCCGTGAGGTCCTCAGCACCGGACGCTACGCCCGGACCGCCTTGACCCCGGACGCGTCCCTGACAGCCATTCGCTGGGAGGGCGTTGTAGTCGCCCTCAAGTCATGGCCCCACCCTGAGGGGATGATCGCAGCATAGATCCCGTCCCTGGGTTCTATCAGAGGGTCCTGGTCATCCGGCACCCATGGTGACTGGCAGGACGATGGGCAGCGGGACATGACAACCCTCTGTCGCACCCAGTCCACTTCCGGGTTGTGATGGAGTAGCCACGAGTGCCCTATGATGAGGGATTGTCATCCTAGGTTCGCAACAGCAAAACGGGCCTGCTCTGTGTGTCTCCCGAATGTTAGGAGGGCTTCTAGCTCCTCAGTTATAGCTCCATTCTCATTCAGGGTCCCGTTGACGTTACGGACGGGGATGGGCTGTGGGAGCGGGGTCATCTCAAGCTTGTGTTTCCGAATGAACTCGGGGCTCACGAAGTTCCTGGTGGCCCCAGAGTCTAGGAGGGCGGACACGGACACAGAGGCAAGGGAGGTCAGGGTGGTCAGCTTCACGGTAAGGTTGAGTGACCTGGGGGACTGCTTCGAGAGGACGTAGATAGTGGGTGGGGATACCGCTACTTCGGGTGCTACCCTTGAGTCTCTCTTGCTTTCACAGGCTGAGGATGCGTTTTTCCTCTTTTTCTTTGCGATAACTTGGTGGAATTTCTGCATTGGTGTTGGCTTACACGCACTGTGGTATCTACACGAGTTGTCTGCTACGGGCAGCTGGGACGCATCCCTCACCGGTCGCCCTCCTGAAAATCCTCTTGGGGACCCTCCTCTGGCCCTCTCTGCTCTGTCTCTGGTTCTCCCATCAACTGGCTCCTCAGTCCTTCCATCAGCACCCGGAGGTCTTCAGGGTGGAGGCGTCGTACTCGACGGACCTTGGGGTGCTGGCACTCCCAGGCAACGTGCCCTGGGGCATTACAGTTGTAACACAGCCCATTCCTCCTCTGGTCGATTCTTGAGCGATCAAGGTCCATTGGCTGTGGGCCCGCTCCACTTGCGGGGCAGGCTGTGGGAGTCTGGGGTAGGGGTATGGGTGCGGGCGTGGGGCGTGCGTGAGAGGGGGTGGTAGTTGGTAGGGGTCGTCCCAGCGGGAGTGGGGGTCTGGACAGGGGCATGCGGGGCTGCGTTGCCTGGAAACGTCGCCATTGGTTATCTAGGAGGGTGGCCTCGCGTTTCCATTCAGCCCAGGTGGTGGGCATGGGGCGGAGGCGGTAAATGCTCTCACGGAGCCGGGTGTTGATTGCTTGCTTGAAGCGGTCGACTAGCCCAATGTCACCCAACCGCGAGGCAGGTCCCAGTATCTCAAACTCCTGGATGACCTTATCCACGGAGTCACTCCCTTGTCAGATGTTTGCCAGTTTCTGCCAGGCTGTGGCTTCCCGGTTCAGATCCTGGAACATGGCATCGAGTTCTGTGTTGAACTCGTCCATGGTTTTAAATATAAGGCTATGGTGCGTAAGTGTCTCAGACTCGTGTTAGAGATCTAGAATTTGTATGTACCTATGGCATGTAAGTGTCTGCGCCAACAGTTAGACAGTTTTGCAAAGAATAATAAAATCTATCTCACCTCAGACTCGTGTTAGAGATCTGAGGGAGAGGGAGTCCAAAAAACTCCCTTCTTATATGCGAACTACACCAGTGGCGAGCCCGTCGCATAAAGAAGAAAAATGGGGTACAAAAGACATGCCCCAAAACTTCACTTCTGCCACCAACAATCAACACCGTCCTCGCCACTCCATCGTCGGAACCAATTGTTGATATTCCAACACATGGTGAGTGCAGGCGAGCTGGCTGTCAGCAACATGATGGTGCGTTGCGTGGCCCACGCTCCTGTGGTCCCTCCCTTCATATAGGAGAGCACGAAGAGGATCTGCGAGAGGGTGCTGGGGAACTCAGCCACGCGGACGTGGAAGTAGATACCACATTCAGCTTTGAAGCGGTCGAGATCCTCGCTGGCTCCCGAGAAGGGGGTAGGAGGGGCAACCTTGGGGCCCTTGGGTCTAGGCGTGGGTGTTGGTGCAGGTGGGGGGGCAGGAGCGGGTATGGGGGCGGGTGCAGGTGTGGCCCGGTTCAGGGCATGACTTTCGACAATGGCCTGTAGTTCTTCAAACCGGGCCAACAGGTCGTCATACTGTTCTTCTGACACCATGGCAGGGGAGGAGGTAGAGGAAGCATAGTTGAAACCTTCTTCTGCTGTCAGGGATGCATCCGGGGTCAAGGCGGTCTGGGTGTAGCGTCCGGTGCTGAGGACCTCATGGGGGGTAGATCGGGCGTGCGTACTGGCAGGCCCGATGCGGGACAGCAATCCCTGGCCACTTAGACTGAAGTGGGAATGTTGAGAAGAAGGTTACTTCTTCAGTTCCCACCCCAGGTGTGTTTATATACATGCGGCTTGGGTCACATGAGGTCCGCCACGTCACCCCGCATACAGCCGCAGTCACCCGGGTGTCCCCATGGGGGATCCCGAGGGCGTATGCTGCATGCATGCGCACTAGGTTGCGCCCTAGAGCCGTCCGGGGTCATCCGGGGCTAGGCATGTCGTGTGCACGTCGCGGGTGGGTCAATAATACATAGATATAAGGGAAAGGTCATCCATGTGGAATAGAAATAGAAATAGGAATAGAAATAGAAATAGAAATAGGAATAGAAATAGAAATGGGAGAGGGATAGAGGGGGAAGGGATATGAAGGAAGGGTGCAGGGTGGGAGAAGGGGTACTGGGTGAGGTGGGTCCAGGTGGAGGTGGGTCAGGCGGGTGTGCCCTGACAATGGCCCAAGAGGCTTGTGAGCTGGACGCAGAGCCTGTGTCGTTCGAGGAGTTAGTGCCGGGTCACTACCAAGACTTCCGGGACGTGTTCTCAAAAGAGGCTTTCGACCGACTACCCCCCCGGAAGCCTTGGGACCATGCCATAGACCTGGTGTCGGATGCCAAACTGCCCAGAGGGAAAACTTTCCCCCTCTCATGCCCTGAGCAGAAAGCACTAGACGAGTTCTTACGCGAGAACCTACAGAACAGGTGCATACGGCCATCCAAGTCTCCAATGGGAGCCCTGGTCTTCTTTGTCAAAAAGAAGGATGGGTTGCTACGGCTGGTCCAAGACTACCGAAAACTGAATGAAATCACGGTAAAGAACTCATACCCCTCCCACTCATCTCAGACGTTCTCGCCCGCCTCCGCAAGGCCAAGTACTTCTCAGCCCTAGACCTACGCTGGGGGTTCAACAACGTCCGGATCAAAGATGGTGACGAGTGGAAGGCAGCGTTTGGGACCAACCGGGGGCTATTCGAGCCCATGGTGATGTTCTTTGGCTTGTGCAACTCCCCCACAACCTTCCAGACGATGATGAACGACATCCTCCGGGACTTCATCGACCAGGAGGTTGTCATCTGTTATATGGATGACATACTCATCTTCACTTCCACCCTAGAGGAACACCGGAAGGTCATCTGGGAGGTCCTGGAGACGTTGCGGATGTGGAAGCTCTTCCTGAAGCTGGAGAAGTGCAAGTTCGAGCGGACCTGGATCGAGTACCTCAGTCTCGTCATTTCTGAGGGCAGCGTTGCAATGGACCGGGTGAAGGTCTGCAGAGTTCTCGACTGGCTGACCCCAACCAAGGTGAAGGAGGTACAATCCTTCTTAGGGTTCATGAACTTCTACCGTTGATTCATCAGAGATTTCTCTGAAAAGGCACGACCCCTCCACGTGCTGACCCAGAAGACCAAGGCCTGGAGTTGGGGGCTGGACGAAGACAATGCCTTCCATGCCCTTAAAGAAGCCATCACCTCTGCCCCCGTCCTCTCCTTCCCCACAGATTCAGGCCATCTCAGGCTCGAATGTGACGCCTCCAACTTCGCGACCGGCATGGTCCTCTCCCAGCTCCAGTTGGATGGAGAGTTCCACCCGGTAGCCTTTATGTCCAAGAGCTTTACGGACATAGAGCGGAACTATGAGGTGTACGACAAGGAAATGCTTGCGATCGTCCGGGCCCTCAAAGAATGGCGGCACTTCCTGGAGGGTGCCGAGGAGAAGGTCGAGGTTTACACTGACCACTGCAACCTGGGGTACTTCTGTATGGCCCAGAGACTTAACCGATGTCAAGCACGCTGGTCCCTCTTCCTCTCCCGCTTCTACTTCACCCTCGTCCATCGCCCAGGGAAGCTCATGGGGAAACCGGACACGCTCTCCCGCCGTCCTGACCACCTGAAGGGAAGAGATGACAATGAGGGGCTGACACTCCTCCAACCAGCCTGGTTCGAGGCCTGTGCAACAGAGGCAGTCTCAGTAGAGGGCGAGGAGGTGGATATTCTGAAGAGGATAGGAGAAGTGAAGGATCATGATGAGCAGGTGGTGAAAGCCATGAGGGAACTAGGGGAGGGGACGTTGAGGTCGGACGAGTGGGAGAGACAAGGAGAATTAGTCCTCTACCGGGGAAGGGTGTACGTTCCGAAAGACCCACAACTCCACCATGATCTGGTACGGTGTTGTGGGGACAACTCCGTGTACTGCAAAAAGTCGGATTCTGCGGAATTTGGCCACAAACACCCACTACATACCCGCTGACGCTCCCAATGCTCATTCTATCACTATCCAACACTACATACACTCATTCCTTATTTTTCCTTATTTTCCCCATCATTCCTGACAACCCCAAGCAAAATCCCCACGCCCAACCACGCCGCCAATTTCACCCCCTCTCCACATCTCAAGAACCACTGCACCAATTGGGACGAATAAGGGCTCGTTGGAAAGCTGGAGACGAGGAGGTTGCTGACGGGAGGATAGGCGGGCGCTATGGCGAAGTGTTGCGGAGTTAACCTTCACAATTTCCATTTCGGACCCGTTATCACATATTCCCCATTCAGTCATTTTTCTTTTATTGTTTCTTTGTTCCCAATTAGATATTCATCATTTACGGTTGCCTAACGGCCCGTTTACATTCCCCCAGTCCATTCATTCCATTTCCAACTCATATAAAATAGATAACAGCTTGTACATAACAAGTCAGTACTGAATAGACCCGTGAAAGGGAAAGCAGAAGTTGCATCCAAGTGGCAAAGATGCCATCCACGACTCTAACGCCTCCCCTGAGTTACTTGCTTACATCTGAGACCCCTTTCCTCATAACCCTCGGCCTTGACGTCCAAGAGAGACGTAGGTGAGTGTTGAGTTGAGGCTCTAACAGACCCGCTAGCACCCCAGGACCCAAAAACCCGAACCTCCACCACACACGCATTCACTACCACCCTCCCCCCTTTCTCTGTCTCGAGTCTAGGCGATAGACCCGTTACAAAACTGGTGGTCCTTACAGGGGGGATTGATACAGTTTTCTGCCATGCGGACATCATCTTTTTCTTTCATGCAACATCGCCATCATTTTCTGTTCTGAGCTTGATTCACTTGTGGACATCGACTACTACATCGCTGATTACAAGAGTTACAAGAAGAGACAAAGTACAAGCCAAGATCTACGCGTTCCAGAGTCTAAAGTCACAAGTCACCATGGCTGCGCCCCCTGGCGGTCCCAAGATGGGGCACAGGGGCGTGTTTTGTCGCTGCTCAAGGGAAAAGAGTCCCCTCCTGGCGGATCCTATGATAGGGCACAGGAGCTTGTGTTTGGGATCCATGAGCGGTCCGCACAAGTTGCGTGGGTATACACCAGCATGAGTTGATTGAACTGCCTGGCGGATCCCAAGATGGGGCACAGGAGTTCTTTGTTACCACTAAGTCAATGGTTGTTCTGCCTGGCGGATCCTATGATAGGGCACAGGGGACACCATTTGGTTGCCGACGTTTGAAGTTTCGCCGAGTTTCTCAAGTTTTACCCGAGTTCGATGCGCCGTTAGTCCTCGATTACACGATTCACGACCCCCTCCCTCAGTCAGACGCCATTCCTTCAAGTTCTTACAGTGGTTCTTATGATTTTTCAACAAACGCGACCTACACGCTTAATTTTTACATGCAAGACCAGTGCCATTTCCGTCTGAGCTTGATTCTACACCGTGTATCGATGATCCACACTGCTGATTGCCAAGGTTTACAAGAGCAACCTAGTTCCTACGATATCCGTGTTCACGAGCCAAGCGCCAAACATAGCGTTGTTGCCGCTCAAGGCTCCGAGGCTGTCAGTCAAGCGCAGAGTTTTCTGTTGCCGCTTAAGCCTGCGTTGTCCCCCCTGGCGGATCCCGAGTTGAGCCGCAGGCGGGCAGCGTTTGTTCGGCCGATTTCGAAGCTTTACCGGGTTTTTCGAAGTTTTCCCAAGTTTGACACGTCGTTAATCTTCGATACCGTGATATCCGAACCCCTTCCTCAGCCAGACAACACTCTTTCAAGTTATTACGCGACCGGCACGGTCATTTCTTACATGCGAAACCACACCACCATTTCCGTCCGAGCTAGATTCTACACCGTGTGCTGACGAATTGCATTGCCGATTGCCAGAGTTTACAAAAGGAATCAGAGTTCCTTCGATATCCGTGTTCACGAGCCAAGCGCCAAACATACGCATTGTTGCCGCTCAAGGCTCCGAGGCTGTCAGTCAAGCGCAGAATTTTCTGTTGCCGCTTAAGCCTGCGTTGTCCCCCTAGTGGTTCCCGAGTCGAGCCGCAGGCGGGCAGCGTTTGTTCGGCCGATTTCGAAGCCTTACCGCGTTTCTTCAGAGTTTTCCCAAGTTTGACGCATCGTTATTCCTCGGTATGACGACCCACGAACCCCTCCACTAGCTGGACAACCTTCTTTCGGATTTTATACGATTTTCTTTGAGTTTTTTTTGCGGTTCCGACTACCATTGCACGATGCCTAGCATGGCAGCATCGCCAGCTCCCAGCCTTAGCACGACTCCCCTCCTGATGATGATTTCGAGCCGCGCATGAGTCGCGCGACACCCCAGCCAGAGTGCATCAAGCTCAAGCCAAAAGAGCTAAGGCCTCCCGGCCTTAGCATCAGTTTGTCGTCCGACGTCGATCCCGAGCCCATACGTGTGCCTATCGTGGCAACTCCAACCCGAGCCGTTGTATTCGATATGAGAGTGGAGTTCAAGTTCAAAGAGCTAAGGCCTCCCGGCCCTAGCTTCGAGTTTTCCCCACTTCTGATGACGATTCTTGACGATCCCGAGCCGCGCACGAGTCGCACGACACCCCAGCCACAGACGAGTCCAGTCCAGTACGCAATGACGCTGAGCACTAGCCAGGCACGCAAGGACGCCAGTCAAACATCCGCGTTTGACTGAGTCTGAGTTCCAGTCGAAGTCGGTTGCGAGTCGGATCTGCGGAATTCTATGCCGATGTGAACGAAGTTAGTAACCGTGCACATGCGGGTTAGCAATGGGAGTGGAAATGGGGCGTACTACTGTGCCCAATCCTCCTATTCGACCTGTAATTCTCCAGCGGGTGGCCAAGTTGCGCGCATGGTAGCGTGAGTATTGGGTGTAGTTTGCACTGGAGTTGGATGGGAAGGATGAGGATTGAAGGCTGAAGTTGAGGGTTGGATGGTTGTGTGAGTGCCGAAGGAGGGAGGAGTTGTTGAGCGCGCGCGCGCTTGTTCTGGGCGAGTTACCGGAATCTTCTCACGCTTTCGCACCGCATGTGACTTCCGCGGTTCCAACTTCATATCTCAGCTTCCACTGGGCCGATTTGGGCGAAAGTGGTATCATTGGAAAGCTGCGAATTAGGAGGTTTTTATCGTGATGATGGGAGAGACTGTATGGAGCAGGATGGAGTTGAGTGCGCACATTGAGATTGTGTGGGAAGGTTTAGAGGTCACATGGCATTTAACACCGTGTGGAGTTGGGACTTTCTTTTGTTTTCACTTTCTTTTCTTTTATGGTTGACTTTCTTTTGCTCTTTGTTGTTTCTTTTTGGAGATTGCAAGGGACTGCAATCAAGAGCTAGGCCTGTATGTTGCAGGGATAAACCCTTGCACTACAAAACAGTGCTCTTTCATTCTTTCATGTACATACATTGGCGAGTGTAGTTGGGGTAGTCCCGTGACTGCACAGCCACAACTATACAACACCGTATCACAAGGACCTTTGGTGAGATTGAGAGAGGCAGGCAGGAGATTACTGTCCCCCCTGTGAGCCTGTGTGACGTTGGGATAAATTCCCTGTTACAACGGCTCCACCACAACGTGTGGGTGATGGGGCACCCAGGATGATGGAAAACCCTGGAACTCATCTCCCGCGACTACTGGTGGCCTCGGATGGCAGAGTACGTGGTTGTGACACCTGTAACCATGTCAAATCCTTCCCCACACGGAAAGTTGGAAAACTTACCCCAAACAAAGTCCCCACCCATCGCTGGCAGGTGATCTCAGTGGACATGGTGGGAGAGCTCCCAGACTCGAAAGGCTACAATGCCATCCTGGTCATAGTGGACTGCCTGTCAAAACGTATCCACACGGTCCCCACTGTGACGTCTGTAGACTCGGCAGGGATCGCCTGGCTCTTCCTGGAGCACGTCTGGAGACACCATGGGCTCCCTGAAGAGATCCTCAGTGACAGGGGAAGCGCCTTCATCTCGCGCTTCTTGAAAGAACTTGCAGATCTCCTGGGAGTCAAGCTAACCCCTTCCACACCCTACCACCCCCAGATGGACGGACAAACAGAGCGGGTCAACCAAGAGATCGAAGCCTATCTGTAAGGGATGGACAGGGATGGGATGATGCGCGCAAAGCGCGCATTTCAGTTATTCTTTTATTCTTTAATACTCTTCGTAATAAATAATGTAAAACAACTGTATATATATATAGTGTCCGGGGTCGGGGAAAGGGGCTTTGCTCTTCTCCTCCCCCCCCTGTCGAATACTAGCTCCATACAGTCTACGTTATCGACAGCCTGAGGATTGAGGAGTCACCAAGGCCGGCACCCCAACCGGCCTTACACTATCTCCGGGTATTTGTCAACCACCGCCAAGACAACTGGGCGGATTGGCTCCCGCTAGCAGAGTTCACTTACAACAACCGAGTCCACTCCTCCACCCGCCAGACTCCCTTCGAACTTGACACTGGACAGCACCCCAGGATGGGGACAGAGCCCACACGCACGTCCGAGGTGGAAGCTGCTGACGCCTTCTCATCTAGGATGATGAAGATGCAAGAGGAGGCGAAAGCAGCACTGGAACATGCAGCCCGCTACTGTGACCGAGGTCGCGAAGCAGCCCCTAAGTACCAAGAAGGCGACCGGGTCTGGCTCAGCGCCCAGAACTACACGACAGACCACCTGACCAAAAAGCTGGACCATAAATGGCTAGGCCCCTTCAAAATCGTCAAAGTTGTCTCCCCGGCTGCTGTCAAGCTCCAGCTCACCGCCCGACAGAAGGGGATACACCCAGTCGTGTCTGTGACGAACGTAAGGCCCCACCGCCCAGACGAAATTTCAGAACAACCCCCTGACCCCCACCCGGGCCCAGAACTTGTAGATGGAGAGGAGGAATATGAGGTGGAGAAAATATTAAACTCTAAGTGGTTACGCTGGAAACTCTGGTATCTGGTAAAGTTCTCTGGCTGGCCAAACTCCGAAAACGAGTGGCTCCCCCGAGACCGGCTGACACACGCTCCCGACCGAATCGAAGAGTTCCACCAGGCACACCCCCAAGCCCCAGGGAGAGAAAGGGAAAACCCCCTGGCCGCTTCGAGGCGAAGCGGCTTAAGGAGGGGGTGATGTCAGGGCACACCCGCCTGACCCGCCTCCACCCGGACCCACCTCACCCAGTACCCCTTCTCCCACCCTGCACCCTTCCTTCATATCCCTTCCCCTCTATCCCTCTCCCATTTCTATTCCTATTCCTATTTCTATTTCTATTCCACATGGACGACCTTTCCCTTATATCTATGTATTATTGACCCACCCGCGATGCACACACGACATGCCTAGCCCCAGACGACCCTGGACGGCTCTAGGGCGCAACCTAGTGTGCACACATGCAGCATACGCCCTCGGGATCCCCCATGGGGACACCTGGGTGACTGCGGCTGTATGCAGGGTGATGTGGTGGACCTCATGTGACCCAAGCTGCATGTATATAAACACACCTGGGGTGGGAACCGAAGAAGTAACCTTCTTCTCAACATTCCCACTTCAGTCTAAGTGGCCAGGGATCGCTGTCCCGCATCAGGCCTGCCAGTACGCATGCCCGATCTACCCCCCATGAGGTCCTCAGCACCGGATGCTACGCCCGGACCGCCTTGACCCCGGACACGTCCCTGACAGCACCCCCACCCAGACCCCCATTTCTGCCAGCTCGACCTCCGCTGACCACGACCCCATCCCAGGTGCGACCCGCACAGACCCCCCCACGACCTGCTCCCACACCTCTGCCCCACACCCCAGCAGCCCATCCTACACCAGGGACGGGCCCCCAGCCGATGGATCTCGACAGGTCGAGGACTGACCAGAGGCGGTGCTACAATTGTAACACCCCGGGTCATCTCGCGTGAGAATGCCCACACCCCAGGGTCAGCCGAGTACGACGTCTCCACCCGGAAGACCTGAGAACACTGATGGAAGGGCTGAAGAGACAGTTGACCGAAGGGACAGAGACGGTGGAGGGGGAACCAGAGGTAGAACCTCAGAGGGATTTTCAGGCAGGCGACTGGTAAGGGATGCGTCCCAGCCGCCTGTAGAAGATAGCTCGTGTAAATACCGCAGCGCACGTAGGCCAACACCAATGCCAAAGTTTCACCGAGTCATCATGAAGAAAAAGAGGAGAAATGCATCCTCCACCCATGAGAATGAGAAGACCCCAAGGGCAGTAACGCCCAAGGTAGCAGTCTCCCCCCCAGCCATTTACATCCTTTCCAAGCAGTCCCCCAGATCCCTTAACCTCACAGTGAAACTGACCGCCCTAACCTCGCGTCAGTATCTGGATCAGCCCTCCTGGACTCAGGAGCCACTGGGAACTTCGTAAGCCCCGAGTTTGTCCAGAAGCACAACCTAGAGACAACCCCCCTCCCCCAGCCCATTCCCGTCCGTAATGTTGATGGAACCCCAAACGAAAATGGAGCTATAACAGAGGAGCTAGAAGCCCTCCTGACCTTCGGGCGACACACAGAGCAGGCACGCTTCGCGGTTGCAAATCTCGGGTGACAGTCCCTCATCATAGGACACTCGTGGTTGCTGCACCACAACCCAGAAGTGGACTGGGTATGACAGAAAGTCGTCATGTCCCACTGCCCATCCTCCTGCAGACAACCGTGAATACGAGATGATCAGGACCCTGTACTGGAGCCTGGGGATGGGATCTACGCTGCTATCATTCCCCCAAGCTGGGGCCATGACCTGAGAGCCACCACGACCCCCTCGCAGCGGATGGCCCAGGAGGCCCACGACCCGGAGGCTGAGCCCATGTTGTTTGAGACGTTAGTACCAGAGCACTACCAGGACTTCTGGGATGTGTTCTCCAAAGAAGCCTTTGACCAATTGCCCCCCCGGAAGCCCTGGGACCATGCTATAGACCTGGTACCAGATGCCAAACTGCCCAGGGGGAAGACCTTCCCACTCTTGCACCCGGAACAGAAAGAGTTGGACAAGTTCCTACGCGAGAACCTACAGAACGGGCGCATACGGCCGTCCAAATCCCCTATGGGAGCACCAGTCTTCTTCGTCAAGAAGAAGGACAGGTCCCTATGCCTGGTCCAGGACTACAGGAAGCTGAACGAGATCACGGTGAAGAACTCGTACCTGCTCCCCCTCATCTCGGATGTCCTCGCCCACCTCCACAACGCCAAATACTTCTCAGCCTTAGACCTATGCTGGGGGTTTAACAACGTCTGGATCAAGGATGGAGATGAGTGGAAGGTGGCATTCACGACCAACCGGGGGCTGTTCGAGCCCATGGTGATGTTCTTCGGCCTGTGTAACTCCCCAGCAACCTTCCAGACCATGATGAATGACATCCTGAGGGATTTCATCAACCGGGGGGTTGTCATCTGTTACATGGACGACATCCTGATCTTCATGGCCACCCTGGAGGAACATCGAAGGGTCGTCCGAGAAGTCCTAGAGACGCTGAGGAGAAGGAGGCTCTTCCTTAAGCCAGAGAAGTGCAAGTTTGAGCGAACCTGGATCGAGTACCTGGGCCTCGTTATCTCGGAGGGTAACGTCATGATGGACCCGGTGAAGATCCAGGGTGTCCTCGACTGGCCTGTCAGGGACAGCTCCGAGAGCGGCGAGGTCCCGGCGCGAGGGACTCGATGGGACAGATGTCGGCTATGCGTAGCGGCGGTCCCGTCGCGGGGTGAGCGTCCCCGACCACTTGGTCTGAAGTGGGAAGTTGGTTTATCATTAAAAGGAAGAAGCTATGGTACTTACCTGAAGTGGGAAGTTGAGAAGAAGGCTGCTTCTTCTGTTCCCACCCCAGGCGCTATTATATACATGCGGTCAGGGTCACGTGGAGGAGGCCACGTCATCTCCGCACACAGCCGCACCTCCCCGGGTGTCTCCGCGGGAGATCCCGGAGGTGGCCGCTCGGTAGGCAGGAGTGCACGCGGCGCGTGCGGCGATCGGGGGGAAGGGGTTAGGTGTGTAGTGGTACATAGAGAAAAGGGAAATCGACCGTAGAATAAAAAGAGAGAGAAAGGGGAAAGGTGAGGAAAGAGACTCGGGGGTGATATCGGGGGAGCGGAGTAGGGTAGTGCGGCGCGGGGTGCGGGGTCGGGCGGGTGTGCCCTGACATGGCCCCCCCAACCAAGGTGAAAGAGGTACAATCCTTCCTAGGATTCGTAAACTTCTATTGCCGGTTCATCAG